GAGCACAGGTCAGCATGTGATGCGGTCCGGCTGCCCTCCTCCCAGGCATCCTCTCCAGAGCCATGCATCGAGGCAGCCACGGTTCCCTAAGGTAGGCAAACAGGCCAGTCGTCGTAGTGATGCTGCACGGCACGCAGGCGTGCGAGCAGGTTGCCTACCCGCAAGACCCGTAAGGTAATTTTATTTAGAGGTACTTCACCTCTAAAAATCCTCGATATATAGACTTACAGTACTGGGATAGTCACCAGTCGCGCTAAGTGGATATCTAGGCAACCCGCTCGCACGCCTCCATGCCGTGCAGCATCACTACGACGACTGGCCTGTTTGCCTACCCCAGGGAACGTGGCGCCTTACGCAAGGGGAAATAGGCTCCAAAAAATTCGTACACCCGAAGTCGAAGTTCATGAAATTCGACCGAAGTTCAGCCGAAGTTCACTGAAGTTCGCATTGTAAAATTCGATCGGAGTTCACTGAAATTCACCGAAGTTCACCGAAATCCATCGAAGCTCACGGAGTTCACCGAAGTTCAAAATAAAATGCTAAAGTTGCGCAAAGTTTAAAATAAATGTCCCCAGCTTACTCAAAGCAGATATTTACGGATCGAATTACAAAGGTTACGGAGCGAGAATTTTGCTTTCATAGCTCTTTATCAGTTCGAAGTTCGAGGAAATTTGTAGGAGTTTACCGAAGTTCACCGAAGTTCCCGAAGTTCACTAGAGTTCACCGAAGTTCGCTGAAGTTCACCGAAGTTCAAGAAAACGTACACCGAAGTTCAAGCCTATTTCCCCTTGGCCTTACGCGCACTGTCTCCCTACGGATGAAGGAATGTCTGTAATGTGGATCAAATTGTCTGTAATACGGACAATTTTATCCATATTATGGATAATTTGTGATCCATAATATGTTAGCACAAAATTCTCCGTAAGCGTGTCCATAAGGAAATGAGAGAGCATGTATGTCGGACCTATGACTTCAACCACCACATACATGTCCCCGACGCGTTCGTATAGGCGACTTGTATGTCACATGTATGTCACATATGTTAAGGGTTTTACGGGTTACCACTGTAACATGTATTTTATTTGCATGTAAAATACGCTTTCTGAGCTAAAATTCATTAGAGGTACTTTGCTTAGAGGTAAAATCCATTAGAGGTACTTTGCTTTAGAGGTAAATATCCTTAGAGGTAATTTGCTTAGAGGTAAAAATCTTTAGAGGTAATGTGCTTAGAGGTGCTGAACTCAACTCGGTGCTGTTCTCAACACAAATGCCAAAGTCCTGCTCCAAGTCCAAATAGTATGTGAAACAGATTGCTGCCAATGTTCTGAACTTTATTATTTGAGATTAAAACAGAACAAGCCTTTCAAACGCATTAAGTTAAAACAGCAATGCATAGTTCAACTAATAATAATGGGCAGCAGATAGTTTACCGAGTAAAAATACCGCAGTTGATGTACAGTTGCTCCACATTGAGTCCTCTTGCAGAATGGTCGTTCACTTGGTACATGACCTATGGGCAAGATAATAGATTGTTATCAGAGGAATACAAAAGTCCAAAAATTTTCTTTGCATCGTACTATGCATGGATGCTTAGCCAAACAGCTATCACTTTGACATCAACAAGCAAAGGAAGGCTCGCACAAATACAGCACGAGTAAATAACAGTACTATTGAAAGCTTTGAGGCAGAACGATCAGATTGTGGGATACCTTACTTGACAAAAAAAGGAAAATTTAAGCTGCCTATCAGCAATCACTGATCATGGTGGAACAGACATCTTTAGAAAGGTACTGAATGTAGAAGTGAAGTACAAACTCTCACAGTGAAGCAAGATGTGGAGCTGATTAATCAGATTAATCAAATGTCAATAGAGAAAAGTACAAAACAAAAAAATGATCACGATGAAATACACGCCAATATTTTTGAATCCATATTCCCAATTGAAAAAGGAAAGGCAAGTGAGGAGAAAGAAACGGACAAAGAGGGAGTAAGGAATTGTTGGAAACTAATACCAATGGATAATTGGCTGAGCGATTAGCGTAGCCTATTACTCCAGTGATCAAAAAGTTTCGCGTCTGTCTGTGTGTCTGTCTGTCATCACGATAACTCAAAAACGAATTAAACTAGCGATCTGGGATTTTCAGGGTCGTTTTGTATCATAAAAAGACAGATAGAGTTCGAAGAAGAGCATTCTAGCTCAAAAATTGGATTTTTAAAAAATTAGATACCACAGGTCCCACAAATAATGTTTTTTGGCTGAGCGATTAGCGAAGCCTATTACTCCACTGATGATCGAAAAGTTTCGCGTCTGTCTGTGTGTCTGTCTGTCTGTCTGTCACTACGATAACTCGAGAACAAATTGAGTTAGCGACCTGGGATTTTCAGGGTCGTTTTCTATCATAAAAAGACAGATCGAGTTCGCAGTAGAGCATTCTAGCTCAAAAAATGGATTTTTTAAAAATCAAAAAC